AAGGAAAAGAAAAAATGAAAAATTCAGCTTTAAAAGAAAACATCATAAAATATTTCTGTGGTATTTTAGAACACCCACAAAAATTCAAGCAGCAGGACATGGATGTGTTAAATAACAGCATTATTGCATGAAGCGCCAGAAGCTGAAGTGGAATTCTAGTTATTTTGTAAATTAGCTTAGAAACAAGCAACTGCGACTGTTGCCATTTTATTTGCATTTAAGGAATTCTGTGAAAGCTGAAGTGTTCCACAGTTCTTATCAGGAAGGAAAGGCACTGATAGTTCCTTCTGGGTCACAGGTTAGAACCTGAGAGACCTCAGCCAAACCCCTGAACTTTACCAGCCAGGATCTCTCAACTCCACAACCCTTGAGTGTCACAGGGCCACATTCACACCCCGAAAGCCCTCAGCAACAACCCTAAAACAACAACTAAAACCCCACAAACCACGGGAGCCGAACGGGCTGTGAAATGCTCCCGGGTCCTTACTGGGAATGGGCACCAAGGGATGGAGAGACCTGGGGGCAGCTCCTTCCCAAGCACCGCTCCAATCAATCCACAGCTCCCTGCAGCTTCCTGGCCACCAACACCACCCCCTGGATCAGCAAGGGCCGCCTCAGAGCCCAGCCACCATCTGGCCTCTCAGCGCTGCCTTGGGAAATGTTCTTTCCTGTTCTGGAAGGTACTACCTGCACCTTCGCATCTCAGACCTGAAATACAACTCTGCCCCGAAAGGCAGATCTGGCCAGGGCCATCCAGGGGCAACAGAGACACTCGGATTTCACACAGCTCAAATGGAATTGTTTAATGCACAAAGGTCGCTCCAGCACACTGCTTCCTGCTTGCCCTCCATCGCTGGGGGCACTGCAATTTGGCAGGATTTTCTAGCAACCTCTTCTCTGTGACATCCAAAACCTCCTCCGGATTCAACTGCTGCAAACACACCAGGCATCTCCCTACATTTTGTTCAGCTTGCACAAACAACTTTTACAATCCTACAGCTCCCCAAGTCCTCCCTGTGATAATTAGGGGAAGTCAGATAAACGAGCAATTTCCAAGGCAAGCAAATGATTTACAAACGAATGCTATTGCATCACACCTTTCCAGGGCAGGAATTCTACCTCTGCTCACAGCCAGCACAACCTGCACATCACCCCACGCAGGAGCAGCTCAGAGCCAGCACAGCTCCTGCCATGGGTTATTTCAATTACTTCCAGCACAGGGGGATGGATGGATTTTCCCTCCTGCAGCTGGGAAGCCAAAAAAAAAAAATTAATGTGCCCTCCTTGGCTTCAGAAAATTCAGTCGTTTCCAAGATTCCTTATTACATCATCTCAATTACAGCATGTGATCACATTAATCACACCTGGTGTGAAGTAAGTTATGAGCTATCAGCAACGGCCTTGTTTTCCCACAAAACCACAGAGGGTGAGGCAGAGGCACCTGAAAGGACCATTTGCCATGAGCTTAACGTGCCAGAAGCACTGGAAATGTGCTCAAACAGCCAGGAGAAATCAAGTGTCAGTTTTCAAAGGGATACGGGGCCAAAAGCCAGGAAATATCCAGGTTTTACTGAAATGCAGGGCTTATTGGCAGGGTCTTTTTCCCTTCTTTGTAAAATGCTTGTGCTAAAGCTTCCAGGATGATACATAGTTGTACTGACACTGGATTATAGACTGTAATTAACTAATAACTAACTCAAGCACCTGCATGATGTGAGCACCTCCACAGGAATAAGTTCATTTAAATAAGTCCACATTCAAATAAGTTCATTTACCGTGTGCAATAAGGGAAGTTCTGATGATTGAAGATGTATCTGTATCACTTGAAGTAAAGATTTAGCTACTATGAGAAACTTACATAACAGCAATAACCTGTTACATTTCTATTTATCTTTGCTTGATTTCTCTCAAGACAGTAACACTAGAAAAAAATGTTCCTCAAGGTCTCCTGTATTACCACATTCTGAGACAGAAAAGGTCAATGAAAATGTCACTTAAAGTGTGACAGGCACTGTCTTTAAGTGTATGTGCACTGCAGATGCTGTAATTGCTAACTCGAACCTCTTTCACAATCACTTTGCAAGTATCTTGAAAGTACAGTTAATCAAACATCAATGTGAAAAATATCGAATGCGGGTAAGCCTACCTGCACAGAACACACTCCAAAAAGAGCTAAAAATCACAAGTGCTCTTCATCACAAGGGAGAAGGAAACTGCAGCTGCCTGAGGATTCTCTGGGCAACAATTTCATGGGATACTTTGCATTTGAAAGGCCAGAGAATTTCAGTTCTCACTGCATATCTGGTGCACAAGGATAAGAACTTCCTCAGAGCTGATATGAGAAGCACATTTTTCTAAACAGCAAACAGAATTTTCAAGAGTATTCCCATTAAAACAAACGGCATGCTCTTCGGCCACCAACTTTTTTGTACTTTTAAAAACAAACTTTTTAGAAAGCGAACCTGCATTTCCCCGAACTTACTACAGTCTGGCACAGCAGGAACAGCTTTCCCTGTTGGCTCCGAGCCCCTTTGTAAAAACAGAAGCACCATCCAACCCCCGATTTTCATGAGTGTTACACGAATCCCTGAATCCTCCTTCCAAATTATGCACAGATGGAGCTCTAAAAAATCCTAGACGTATCCCATAGAAACAGAGGAGCAATATCTCCACCTCCTCTTGCGTCTCCCATCATCACGGCCGCTGCCCGGTGCCCCCCCGTTCCCCGCCAGACCTCGCTATGCCAGGGCCGGCAGATGCGCTGCGAGCACCAACAGCTCCAAAGAAAGGGAAAAACTCATCGCGCCGCTGAATCAACCTCCTCCTCCTCCTCCACAGTCTCGCCACCACTCGTGTGATTGCTAATGGGAACGCTCCCAGCCCTGGCAGCCGATCCGGGGCCGGGCAAACACGCTCACTCCAGGGGTATCCCT